CAAAATTATGTTCCCACTGTAATACTCACTCCAGCGTAATCTAGTAGCCAACATTTTAACAAAAAACTAGTTGGTTAAAAGTGTAGCATATAGCACCAAATCTTTCCAGTTGCTCTTCATCTCTCTCCCCCACCTCTCACTCTCTGCTTTCAAAGTTCCTGACCCCAATCACAGCTCCACATTCTTAGGCTCCTTGCTCAGCCTCTGCTCACTTTGACCATCCTTTTGAGAAAGCCCCTGCTCCTATTCTCAGCAAACATTTACCAGGGTCACAAATAGCACAGGCTCTGAAGACACCTCAGGAAGTGATTGGATGGACATGCTCTGGCTATGAGCTCTTTAATTCTGGCCTTGGTCTCTATTCTTAGAATGTCAGATAGGACCCAGGACTGGGAGAACCCACCTTTTAATGCTCATGTGACTTCTGTGCTCCTCACCTGCCTCTCTTTACTCAGCTCAGGGCAGTTGCTTCCAGCTTGGAGAGTGTATACTTCATGTGAGGACTTTGGGTGGGCAGATATGGATGTCACCATTCCTGGGGGCCTCTACGTCCGTATTTCCTATAAAAGATAACTCCCCCCAAGTCACTTATAGATCCTGGGCACACAGTTACTTTTTTTCTTCACTATAGAACAATAATTTTTCATCTATATCTTTGGTTCTAGATGGCTTGGTATGAAAATCCACATTTGAGTTGTGTGAGTATGCATGTGTGTGAAGTATAATGATTTAGAAAAGAAGCCCTAGAAAGGTAAGCAAAGTATTAAACTTCTTTGAACTTTAGCTTTCTTATCTTTTAAGTGAAGATAATGATAGAATATCTTCTTTTCAGGATTAATGAATTATGATGGCAAAGGGGAAGTAGTCAAGATTATGTGTAGCTGTGTTGACATTCAGGAAGTGGATGGATGCATAGCTATATAGACGCACAGAAAAATAGATACATACATACATACATACATACATGATACATAGATACATAGATAGATCCAGGCATGGATTTTTAGTGTTCATGGGGATGTTTTAAAGATTACAGATGCCTACTAAGTTAGGTGTCTCTTGTTAAACTAAATGACATCTTTTTTTCTCCTATATATCTCAGCAATTTGCCTTTGTGAAGGTAGATCTAGAATGCATATAGGAAAAGAGGACTAAAACAAAACATATTGCCCTAATTTATAGTTTCCTAGGGAAAATCTAAAGGAATGAGAATAAAAAAGTTAATGAGATGGCTTTGAACTATGACTTGAAGTAGTATAGCTGGTATATGTAAAATACGTTTATTATTTGATTTGAAAATTTTGCATGTTTAAAATATAAATTTGCTGTGTTTAGCTTCCCAGTTTCCTATGCTAAAAACACCAATGAAAAATTTAAAAGTGAAAATCATGATATCTGAAAAATAAATGTTCAAAAATAAATACATTAAAAAATCCCCTGGATAGCATCAGTAAACATTAGAACAGATTAGTGCATTTGAACTTGAAGAAACTATCAAAAATGAAAAGCGGAAAACTATTGAAAAAAATGAACAGGTGATTGATAACCCATTGAAAAATATCTAATAGTATAACCGGTTTGTCAAAGCTGTAATTGGAGTTCTGGGCCACAGACCCAAACTTCAGTTGTTCCACATGTCAGGTCTCTCCACTTGCACAAATATGGCAAATAAAGAGATGAATAATAGTGAAGGGTAAAGGAAGGAGATTTATTAATGCAGCATGGGCATCCCACAGAAGAAGGCATCACCATCAGGGTATAGACATGAGCTTTCATTTTAAACAGAGAAAGAATTAGGGTAAGGGGTGGAAGATGTGCACAATTTTTAAACATTCCCAGGCAACGTGTAGCCTGGATGGATCATTATGGTGGGGCTTCCCTGAAGTCATTATCACTGTCATCACTTGAGTGGAGAAATCTGGTCATAATGAGCAAGTCGTTGTTGCCTAGCAGGTGGTCAGTCCTGTGGAGGTCTTGCTGTTTCTTTCCTTGGAGGTAGTTTCCATCTTTTCTACTAAAGATGTTATTGATGAGTCCTGTCCTTCCTGGATTCCAAGGTGACTGCAAGGTGGCTACAGAGAGGATAGCTATAAGCAAAGACAGATACAAAATGAAGGCAGGCATGCCAAGCCCTTACCCTGCTTTTAGTTATTCTTTTGTAACTAAATGAAGCCCAAATAAGGATTCAGTGCTTTTACCAAAAGCAGTTTCTAAGTACCGAATAGTCTAACATATGTATGCTTACAGTCCCAGAAAGAAAGGAAGGAAAAGAATAAAATAAAAAATATATTTTAAAATAATGGTAAACAATTTTCAAATCTGATGAAAACCATTCAACCAATATGATCAAGAAATCAATAAATTCCAAGCAGGACAAATACAAAGAAAACCAAGCTGGTACCAGTGGCTCATGCTTGTAATATTAGCTATTTGGAAGACTGAGATCAGGAGGACGTCAATTTGAAGACAACCTGAGCAAAGAGTTCCGAGACTCCATTTCAGTGACAAAAAGCTGGCATGGTGATGCATGCCTGTCATCCCAGCAACAATGGGGAGCTTAAAAAAGGAGAATTGAGGTCCAGTTTGGCCTGGGCAAAAAATAAGATCCTATCTCCAAAATAACTAGAGCAATAGAGGCATGGTTCAAATGGTAGAGTGCCTGCCTCTTAAGCACAAAGCCCTGAGTTCAAACCTCCATACTGCCAAAAAAACGAAAAGAAAGAAAGAAAAGAAAACCAGTAAATGAAATAATACCTCCAGGAGAAGGATACAAATTAGTCTTGGACAGCAGATGAGGGAGAGAGGAATTCTGAGGAAGGATACCCAGGAGAAACTTGTTAAGGAGAGCTGGTCAAATATACACTTTAAAAGGTAGTCAAACTTAGCTCTGTGGAGATGGTGGAGTTGAGAGAGTAGGCATCAGAGAGAAGAAGGAGTGTGAGAATACAAATGGTATAGGAAGGTTCAGGTGGTCTTAAGAGGAGAGATGTGACCCAGCTCAGGGTTCCTATGACAAGGTGTGGTGGAGAATATGATGGGTGGATTTGGCAAAGCCAGAATTGCTCTCAGACCTTTACATACATCTACTTTCACCTTTCAGATCAGGAAGTCTCATCTTTTGGAGGAATGAGCTGAATAGTCCTTGGCAATCAGAACCACAGAGATTATTAAGCACCATCCTCTTTTCCTGGATAGTCTCAGTCACAACCATGTGGATCCTCTGTGGTATCCAACCATGCCAGAATTCAGGACTACTCTAGGACCAGGGACTAAATCTAGTTCACCACATAGTTATTCTCCTACCCATCAACAAAGTATTCATATGTGCAGTGCGTGTCTTGTGATTACTAGTACTAATTACTGGTGTATTTGAATATAAACAGCTGAGCTATTCTCTGATGCATGGCAGTCTTATTTGTTTACACATCCAAGGCTAGTTTAGTCTATAGAACAAACTGTGGGATGCGGAATTTTTCCCCTTATGTGTTTGGGGAATACATAGTTTGGCTCCCATCTCCTAGTTAAAAAAAAATCTCTTTAACATATGGCAGACCCTACATCACTAAGCCATGCACAAAAACTCAGTCTAGGCATTTTGGTGTCAGTGAGATTGCATATTTAACTATGGCAAAGAAAGAGACCCCTTGGAATTGAGGTATTTTAGACTGAGGAATAGGAAATTTGACTCCACATGCTGGCAATTTCATAAAACCTCTCACAAAAGGCAGTTAATAGCTGGCTCTGTTTTTGCTGCCACGTCTGCATTCCACCCACACTAAGGCCAGATTTGTCCAAGTTTCAACTCTCCCACTGGGTACTGAGTAAGCTCTTACATCTGGGTATTCATTATAGCAATAGTTTGCACCTCCAAATGGAATAATTTTCAAATACAGATCCAATTGAATATAAATTCAGTCAGTCTGGGATGAATTTTAGAATTTTGTGTTTTTAGGCTAGTAACCCAGGTAATTTCACTCTGTTGCAGTACCCACCTGGTTGGGGAAGCTCCCTGAGAACATCTGGTGCAATTCATTTCTTATATAGTAAAAATCCCAGGCAAGGAGGTTTAGAAAGAGAAAAAATGACAGAGAATTTCCAAAAGATGGAAGCAGGGTTCCAAGGTGAGAAGCATTGGTCTTTATACCCAATCACTCTCACATTTACTTGCACTGAGTCACCCCTCACCTCTGGATGCCAGACCCTTGCTCCAAGGCATCATGACTGAATGTCAGGCATAAGGGTCTGGTGTGATGTCTGCCTCACACTGCTTGGAGCTTGGCCAGTGCATTTGTGGACAACAGTCCACCAAATTCTCCCAAAAGAAACAGTACATTATTTACATTGCCCTCTTTGTCTCTCCACCACCTAGGGCTCCAAGCCCTAGTACAATATAAGTCTAATTGGAATTGTCACCTTGAATCCCCCTGTACAATGAATATATCCTAAAAAGTTTTTTTAAAAAAGAACAAAGGTATCGTGTATAGAAGAAAGGACTTTAGACCAAGTCAAGTCTGGCTGTATGGCTTTGGCAAACTAGTTAAATCTTTGTGCTTAGGTTTCCTGCTGAAAATGGCAAGATAATTCTGTTCGCCTGAAAAGCTACTGTGGGAATCAGAGGTTAGACAGACAAACAGATGTATAGAGATAGGTAGACACTTGTGTTTATATACATACATTCATACTCTGTTCTGTACTTCTCAGAAGATCCTAGAGACACTGATGCTGCTCGTCCAGGTACCACTCTTTAAGAACCAGTGTGCTTCAGTTATACACTGAAAATGAACAAAAATTAAGGCTGCTCTTTTTCTCAGTGTCTTCCTAACAGGTAAAAACTGAATATTTGTCAGTAATATTATAATGCATTTCCTTTATACCAAACAGGGTTTGATGGTGATCTCTAGGACTCCACCATCAACATTGCAAAACTAGATCCCTTAGGCAAGGGAAAGTCATAGGAAGATCCAGTTGGTGGATCTGGGTTCACAAATCAGGCTCAGTACCTGGGTGGGGTGTATCCTGTGAGGCATGGCCTGTGAGGAGGATGCTCTGGATCAGACCTTCCCGGGCCAGGCCAGAACCCACACCTGCTGTCATCCTCCTCATATGAGCCCTTTCACCCTCTGTAGACCACTATGGCCTCAAGATGCTATCTTGCTCTGGAGAAGGGCCTGTCCTCCAGAATGCTCATCCTCTGGAGCCATAAATGTGCTGCACTTATGTCATCTGCAGTTTTCCACTGCCAAGAACACCATATGATCCCATGGAGGAATTTAGAGTCCAGATCACATTTCCCTTTTCTATAACCTCAAAAAAATAAGTAATATAGCTCTAAAAGGCAGTGTATTCCCAGAGTGCTTCACGGTGCTCTGTTCTTGCTAGTACCCATTAAATAATAAAATTTCTTTCCCCACTTTCCCTCAGCTTTTAAAAACCTGGATCCAGAGGTGACATCATTCAGATTATGGCCCTGGGCCAGGACTGGGCAACTATCAAACCCAGTTTCGAAGACCTTTATTCCTCACTTAGAGCATATGAGTTGCTTCGCTGTTCCCTCATTCTAGCAATGGACAGGAACATGGAGGGGAGATAGAAAACTCATGAGGTAATATAGTTGGTGAGGCTAAGGAATACCCACACTTAAACATTTTTAAGTATACAGTAGAGTGGAATTCACTCTACCTCTGGATCAAACTGTGGGCATGATTTAAGTGGTAGAGCACTTGTCTAAAAATGTGAGACCCTGAATTCAATCCCCAGTGTCCCCGCAAAATAAATAAAACAAAAATCGACCAAACAAAACCCCCCACCTCATTTCACCAAGTCAAGAAGGAGAAAAGAACAGGCATTACTCAACTCAGGCTGTGAGTATGTCATGTCTTTATTGTTATATGTGTTCATTTGCCTCAGTCCCTACAGTTGCCCATCTGCATAGAACATGGGTCAAAATGCTAACCTATAAGCCTTGATAAAATGTAACCTGACTTAAGATACACACAGAAATTTAGGAATATTCTGATTCCACTTGGATGGGAGTTTACAATCTAGTTGGACAGATAAAACAGACACACCTGAAAAGTGAAGTAACAATTCAAAAGATGTTGCAAAAAAAGATGGTGCAAAGCATTTGCCAAATGGGTGGTATAGCCAATGCAATGAGTTCGTGGAAGTCAGCACAGGCTCCTAAGGGTGGGAACAAGCAAAAAAGGCTCCAAGTAAGAGGTACTGAGAGACAGGTTAGATTTTAGATGCCAAAGAATAAGAAAGAAATGGTCCAGGTATGTGAGCAAAGTCTTGGAGGCAAGGAAGGACACCTAAGGAATGTCTCAAGGAACACCCATGATACACCATGGTGTCTGGCTAGAATTAAAGACATATACAGGGGAGAAGTCAGAGGTGAGGCAGGAGAGATATCTGAGGCCCAGATGTGAAAGATGGGAGACCTGCAAATGAGTTTGGCTTCAAAACAGGAAGCCTCTAACGGTCTTTGGAGAGCGTAAACAAGAATATACTAGAAATTGTGGCTGCTAGAAGAGGAAGAGCAGTATTTTGAGAACAGGAGGCCGAGGCATCTCAGCCACACTTCCTTTAAAAGTAGGCACACTTTACTTCAGCATAGCCTCCACCTTTCACTCCAGAATAGGTGTTTCCTTGGTCTCCACAGCCATCTATACCCTGTGGCTCTGGAAATACATCACTAGATCCACAGCCAGCGCCACTCTCTTGGCCCTGGTTGCAACTATACGGACCACAGCTAGGGCCCTCGGTATCTAGTCGGCACGGATTGGACTCGAGGCAGCCTAGGTCTCCTGAGTACGGAATTGGATTTGGCCCAGAGCAGGGGATGGGACAGCGAATCGGCTCTCCACTTGGCTCAGGGCTTGAGCAGGGCGCTGGAAGGGGAATTGGCTCTGAACATGGACAAGGATCTCGGTGCTCATAGGACTGCGAGCATGGACGTGGCTCTGGATTTTCACACTGCACGGGGCACGGACGTGGGGCTGGGCGGGGAGCTGGACGTGGAGCTGGACGTGGAGCTGGACGTGGTTCCGGACACAAACAAGGGTCTGAAAATCTCCTTAGTGGAGGACATGGGCGGGGTTCTGGACTTGGGCATGGCTCTGGGCGTGGACATGGTCGTGGAGCAGGAAGTGGGTATCGTTGCCATGATGGCTCTGGACACCGGTCAAGACGCTGTGGCGGGTAGGACCTTGGGAGTGGACGTGGCTCTACACATGGTCTCAGTTCTGGGCAGGAGGCCCCAAAGGAGGGTTGTGGAGCACAGCTCTGGGAGCGGCCTCTGATGGGAGGAATCTGAACAGGACACCTCTGTGGGGGAACCTGCCTGGGGCAGCAGGGGTGGGAAATCTCTATTCGGCACTTGGGTCCACATCTCTGAGCTGAGCCAGGGCCCCTAGGGCAGTGGCTGTTGTAGATGGGTTCAGAGCGGCGGGGTGGGGTACAGTAGTTGTAGGAACCCGAAGAGCATCGTGATGGCAGGTAGCTGCTGTAAGAGGGCTCATAACGTCGTGGTGGGGAACAGCTACGGTAAGAAGGCTGCAGCCGACGAGGAGGGAGGCATCGGCTGGTGCTCTGAGACAGACGCTGCCCAGAGAAGCTGCCATAGGAGCTCCCGGCCTGGCACTGTGGTGCACAAGTGCTAAAGGAAGCTCGAGACTGACGCTGGGGGGCACAGCTGGTGTAAGAGGCCCCAGACTGGAATCGGGGGGCACAGCTGCCATAGGAAGACTGGGGCTGACGCTGTGGGGCACAGCTGGTGTAGGAAGCCCCTGACTGGAATTGGGGGATGCAGCTGCTGTAGGAGCCCTGATACTGGCACTGGGTAGAAAAGCTTCCCTGAGCCGGGCCCACTGGTTGACATTCTACATAATTATGGACAGGCTGCGGAGCTGGTACATAGGTCTGCACTGGGCATTCCACATAACGAGTTTGTGTATAATAAACTGGAGCACATTCTACGTAGCAAGTCTGAATAGGTTGTGGGACTTCGTATTGCACGTAGGACTGGCATGGAGCCTGGCACTGGACACAGGAGATTTGAGTCTGGCATGGAGCTTGACACTTCACCTGGGTGGTCTTAGTCTTGCATGGAGCCTGGCACTTCACCTGGGTGGTCTTCGTCTTGCATGGAGCCTGGCACTTCACCTGGGTGGTCTTAGTTTTGCATGGAGCTTGGGAAGCTTGAACTGAGCATGGTGCAGGGCACTCCAAAATTTGCATCTCACAAGGGGCTTGGACCACCACCTGACCATTGGCATTGGGGAACTGGGAGGGACCAAATGAGGAACCTTTGACACAGCACTGGGAGACAGGCAGGCAATACTGAATCTGCTGCTGATCACACATGGTCATGATGCAGGTGTGAGCGGGACCTAAGGGTAAAGAGAACAGGATCAGAAGGGTGGGGTTGGGAAGAAGGGGCCAGAATCTAGGAGCAGGCATCTCATGTGTCCCCTTGCCTTTCTTCTTCTGCCTTCATCCTTAACCCAAGAATTTTTACTGACTTAGCTGGAACCAGAAGTAATCACCATTGTCCATGTGACCTGCTTTGGGTCTGCCTGATCCTGAACAGCCAGGATTAGGAGTGTCCAGGATTTTTCCATAGAGGGTGGACACATTAGTGTCCACCACCAGAGGGCGCTGAGAGCAAGAGGATTCTCCACCCTTCCTTAAGTCCTAAGGTAAAAACAGCCCTGTAGGAAGGATAGTTATTACGTTGCTCTCCAAGCTGTAGCCCAAAGGGAGACTCCACACCCTTGGGCGGTTGGATTTTTCTCACACACCCATACCAGCGCACACATGCATGTGCACATATGTAAAAATGAACAAGTGAGAACAAAGCACTTAGGCACGCCTTATACTCACATAACATCAAAGGAACCATTGGAAAGTAAAGGAACCAGTCACTTACCTGGCATCTCAAATGCAATATTAAATATTTCCTCTTTGTATCCAATCTTTTTAAATGAATCCTTTTAAACAGACCCTCGTGCAAGTAGGCAAAGGCATGTTCACATAAAACACTCCAGCCTTAGAAAAGCTCAGTATCAACATGGCGACTTGCCCAGGCAGGCTGTTATTATTAATCACCTGGAGTGTGACAGCCTGCTGACTTCAGAAATGTTTTCTTCCCAGCCCTTCTGAGAGGCAGGATAGTGTTACCTAAGTAACTAACACTGCAAGATTCCTAATCATAACACTGATATTCAGCTGCATAAGCATCTACACAACAGGAACATTACGAACACAACCTGAGAATGCAGGTAGACATTACCACACTTATCCATGGAGAAAACAACACTCTTTGCAATCCCCAAATCCACCTACTCAAATAAAGGCATCCCAGAGACCAGGACAGCAGAGGGCTGATTTAATAATTAGCTCATTCAACAAAGCACCTCTCCAGAAGCTCCCAAAATATTGAAAGTACTTGTAAAGAAGGAAGGACAAAGTTATACATTTTCCATTTGTAGAAAATATCTAAGTAGCTATCCCCTCAGGAAAGTTAGCCCTCCCTCACATGACTCTGCTCACAAGATATAAATCACTGGTGTCTTTTTTTCTAGGAAGAATAGATCCTAATCAGGGGAAATGGTACCTGAGAATGAGGCCAGGGTTACCAAAGACAATACACTGACTTCACAGCCCTATCTCTTCTCTCAAACTCTACAAATAAGCTTTTTATGTCTACTAAAATCTCACCAGACTTTTCTCCTCAGACTGATGTACCATTCTCTTCCTCAGCTCCTCAGCTCTGCTTGCACTGTGCCTCACTCCTGTGAATCTGGGCACCCCTTGAACATCACCCCACTCTAATCCCTGGACCCAGCTCAAGACTCACCCTCCTCAGCAGGCACACAGTCATTCAGGCCGAGGCATCTGGGCAGAGGGCTGTCTTTATATAAAGGGTTCTAGGTTTGGCTTAGGCCATGAGACAGCTGGTTGGCATCTGCCTGGTTCATCCCCCAGGTTAGCATTCCAACAGGGTTCCCTCCCTGTGTGCCTGTCCTTGCAGTCACCTACAAAGTTGGGAGTGTCAAAGCTTCTGTACTATGAAGGAGAAAATTCTTGTTTTCTTCCTCCTTCTTCACCCTATCATTTTCTTCTCCGTCACTAGAGGACCTGGTGGTAAGGATGATGGGGAATAGCAAAGATGTCTTCTCTCCTAAAAGATTATTCTATTGGCCTACATTCTTCCTTGCCTCAGATTCTCACCAGACAGAGATAAAGGAGGAAATTCTCTCTAACTTAAAGCAATTAAAATTGCCTCAAGGGTAGAGATAACTTGATAGGATGAAGAGAATATGGAGTCAGAGCTCAGTCTAACATCCCAAGTTTACTATTTACAGCTGTGTGATCTTTATAACTAACATGAATATTGATTTTTTTATTTACTCTTCTGCAAAATGGATATAATTAAATCTCCTTTACTGGTTGTCATATACAAAACTATCTACCCAAGAATGATATTCAAAATATCCAACATCTGTTCAGAGGAGTGCATATCACAAACCATGGACACAGCTGGGTCAACTGTCACCTGCCACATCCCAGTCCTGAGCTGAGCAAAGTGATGGCTGTACAGTAGATGCTCAGCTAATACCACAGAGCAGATTTGAAGGTAGCACAAGACAGCTAACGTTGGGAAAGTCCTTGAAGACAGCACAGTGCAGAGCACAAGTCTTCTGAGCAAATACAGAAAACATCTTTTTATGTTTTACCTGCCTAATATTAAAATAAATCATTAATGTTTATAAATAAAAAACTTTAACATTCCAGACATCCAAAGATGTCTTTGGACATCTTTTCTTCTCAAATCCAAAGATCTCTTATAGGTGAACCTGCCTTCTATAAACCTGAGTAACAGTTGCCCTCCTTGGAAAGAACATATACTTTTCCATTCTACAGAACTTCATCATTCTTTATTAAATCTAAAATTCAATTGAAAATATAAGATTTCTTGCATTATATTATTTGCTGAAGTTGAAAAGAAAGTGATCCTTCTGCCTGGATTGTTTCACTTGTTTCTGTCACCCATGTGCCTTTGTATGCATTTAGATTCTGACCAAGTTTGTGAGCAGATATTTTCAATTTAGACAAATTTTGAGCTTCAGAACTTACTAATGGGATGAAATCTATTTAGCCTCCATGAACCTAAGTTTCATTATCTGTAAGTTAGAAAAAAGGAGAAGGGGAAGGAATGGGAGAGGAGGAGGAATACTTAGAAAATACACAGGATTATTGTACAAATTAAATAAGAAAACTGACCTAAAGAACTTAACACTTAATTAGCCAGTTTCTTCATAGGAATATGGAAGTAGTAATACTTCACAGGTGCTCATGAGGATTAAATCAGATAATGGGTATGAAAGTGCTTTGTAACCTACAATGCACACATCAATCATGTCTGTGAAGTCTCTCTCATGGGGCAGTCTACCCAGTTTCAATGTGACTTTAAAGTGCTAGCTCTGGATCCCATCACTCATTTCAAAGGGGTCTCCAGGTACTTTTCCAGACTTAAATAGTAAAATGTCGTAGAACAAGAACCCCCAGAAATTACTAGGTTCTACCCTCTCATTCTATAGACGAAGACTCCAAAGCCCAGAGAGATGAAGCTATCTGGGACCTAGTGCTAATGAGTCTCTTGATGGAACTAAATTCCATATAGCCATAGTCCCAGGCCAGCACTTTTTCTACTATCACAAGTTATTTCTCTGATTACACACTTTGACCAAGCTGCTCTAAACTTAGGTAGCTCTAGAGTTTGAAATTCTTTGAGAAGGTAGTCTGGAAATTAGTGAATGAGACAAACTGAAAGCCTAGACCAGCTGGCCTCATCAAAATGCTAATTTTTGACCCTAATGGCTGTGTCTCCTTCACTCATCTTTTAATGGAATGTGCATGTTCTGAAGGGAAAATGCCTATCTTGCTCCTTTTTGCCTCTCCACATGCTGACATAATATAAGTCTGTTGATGGATGAGTGATAGATGAGTAGAAGTTTGGGCATGAAATTAGGCTTGGTTCACATATCTTAAATCACTAGAGTATGAGTTGATAGACCAGGAAAGCAGTGCAACCCTCCCTATTTCTTTCATCTGACAGACAGGATAGAAGTGAAGGATAAGAGAGGAATAGGCTTGGAAGTTAAGCCTTAGCGATGACAATAGGGCTAGGTGTTAGAGTTTTCAATAATATGATATCAAAACCTAGTTATCTGGCTAAAAGCAAAAGATTCAACTCTTGACATTCTTCCTTTTCTGATGTGTAAAGCCTAGGATTAAAAGTTGCCATTGTTAAAGAGCTAGAATCAGTACTGAGATTGAGTAAAGGCAGGAATAAATGTGGTATATTCTTTTCTTCTTCAATAAGGTCTAGAATTCTTCCAAAATAAATAGCTCCTTTAGAGAACTTCAATGTGGGCTTTCAGCCTGTATGTTTTTAGATGACTTTGCTCTTTAGCTCAGTCAACTCAATAGGACAAATAATTCTCCCTGGAAAGTTCTTCCTCCCAAGCTCTTATTGTTATACAATGGGAATCATTATTGATCCTCTTTCTAGCTTACCTCAGCATACAGTTTCCCCCCACCCTTCATTTCACTCCGTAATTTCTCTCAAACTTTCCCCCTAATGTCTGTTCCTGCTTCATATGCTATATCTCAGATCTTCATGATCTTCTACATGGTTCAATAGTGGTGGGACAGTTTTATCTGCATCTAGCCTTTAATTGGAAGTAGCCACATGAGATTGAGCATCCTAAACATAAAGTAAAATAAAGCAAAATAAAATAAAAATATAAAGAAGAACATATATGGTGTTTTTTGCTTCTCATTGTCTACTGGAAAAAATATTAAAAATCCTTCAAGGTATAGAAATCCCTTCATAAACTGACTTCCTTCTACTCTTTCAAGCTCATGTCCATCTTATAATCACTGCCTGCCACCCACCCACCACCCCACACAGCGTCATATGAAGTCATGCAAAGTGGTTTGCATTCTCTACACATGCCTTGATATTTAATGACGGCAGACTTTTGCAAGTGCTGTCTCCTCTTCCTTTCGTCTCTTGTCTGAATGTGAAGTATTGCACATTGTTTGGGAAAACTCCAATGGTATGTCCTTGGTAGTGCTCCATGATTTCCAAAGCTATGACTCACTATGCTCTGGCAGCACGTTAGACATACCTGTCATTGAAGTTGTCATGTGTTCTGATTGTTTACATTCCCATTTTCCACACTAAGTGAGTTCCTCAAGGAAAATAAGTTGTGATATATAAAACTTTGCATCCCAGAAGCAGGTTCTATGCCCTTGCATAGTATTCATTTCTTCTTTGTTGATTAAATAATCTT